CGACGTCGCCTGGTACGCGGCGCTCCACGAGATCGCGACGATCCAGGCCGTCGGCGCGCCGCCCGCGGCGCCGGCGCCGGACGATGCTGTGCTGGCGGACCTCGACGCGCTCCTGCCCGTCGTCCGGAGCGCGCCGGACTGGCGCGCGCGCATGGAAGGCGTCCCCGGCGGCCGCCGCGCCTTCATCCGCGCGGCCGAGCCGCCGCCGCCGCCGCCGCCGGCCGCGGAGGCCGACGGGCCGACGGTCGTCCGCGTCGCGGCGATGGCGTCCGCCGCGGACGTCGCGCGCGCGCGCCTCGACCGCGCGTCGACGCTCGCGGCCGAGGGCGTCGCGCCCTACGCGGCCGTCGCGGCGGCGCTGCGCGCGCGGCGGGAGCGCGACGCGTCCTTCGTCGCGGGCCTGCTCCGCGGCAGGAAGCAGCTCCTCGACCTCTACGACCGCGTCGACGCCCTGCCGGCCGCGCGCCGCGTCGTCAAGACCTGGGGCGAGCCGGGCGCCTACCGGACCCACTTTTAACTCAGCGGGGTCGCCTGTGTCGAAGAAATTTCCCCTGCAACTTGAAGGCGTCTTCAAGGTGTTTGCCGGGCCGTACGTGTTCGAGCATCTTGTTCGAGCCGTGCACTCCTCCAGCATTGATGAGTGCTGAGCATTCCCACATGCGCGTCCTGCTCGCCGCCCTGATCGGCAGCGCGCGCGGGCTGCCCACCGCTGCGCCGACCGAGTCCTTGGGCGGCTGCCCCTTCCTGACCTCGAATAATGATTACTTTGGGGCGTCGCGCTGCGACGAGGCGAGCTACGACGAGGAGTGGGACGAGGCGAGCGAGTACGAACACGAGTGCTACATGCACGAGTGGATCGCGTCGTCGTGCGCGGAGCTCCGCTGCGACCCCGAGTCGGAGCGCCTCTGGCTCACGAAGAGGCACGTGCACGACATGCACCGGGAGAATTCGAACAACTGGTGGTCGTGGCGGACGGACGCGTGCATGGTCCTGTCGCCGGACGGGCGCT